CCATTTGGTCCTGTCTTTTATTTTGTAAACTAATAAGTCCTATTTGAATGTTAAAAGCTTACTATAGGCTTTTTTTTAGATTTCTCTCATTTCCGAACATCAGCAACATTAACTACACCAACAACATCATCAATATCATCAAACATCAACTACATCATCAAACATTATCTACATCATAAAGCATCATAAACCTTATCAAACATCAACTACATCATCATACATCACCAACATTGTGAACATCATCAAACATCAACTACATCTTCAACCTCATCAAACATCATCAATATCACCAAACATTGTGAACATCATCAAACATCAACTATATCTTGATGAGGTTCACAATCGAACCAGGTAAGCTTTTCCTGTGATCAAACAGACTTCGACCCATATTGGGTCAGACCCAATATACCTAATCGATTCAGTCGTTTCTTTATATATGGATGTGATTATGGAAAACTAATGGGTGTTTTGTTACTCGGTGAATGAGTACTTAATTTGGGTTTTTTTGATATTCTTATTAGCTGACTGGGTTGACCCAATTCGTTTGTTGTTTGATGATTGCATGTTTATCAGCAAATCTGAGGCATAAAGTTTGGAATTTTAATTTGTGCCGAATTTGCCAATGTAAATGAACTATTATAGAAATAGAAAATGGAACTACAAAGTCTCTTTTGTGTTCGAATAAATGTCAAAAAGAAGTAATTTTGGACCTTGGGATTTTTAGTATATTATTATTTGGTGTCCGTTGAATCATAATTTCCATTGAAATTATAGTGTCTAAAAAGCTTGATCTTATAACAGTGTATGTTGATGCACATATTGGAATCATAATTTCCTGTTGAAATTGTAGTGCGACTAATGGAACTGTTGGTGATGTTGATAATGTAGTTGATATTTGATGATGTTGGTGATGTTGATGATGTTTGATGATATAGTTGATATTTTATGATGTTGATGATGTTTGATGATGTAGTTGATGTTTGAACTCGTTCACATTGATTGGATTGAAATTGCTTGATGTTTATACAATATAACAAACAAAGATAACATACCAAATATGAAAAGGACTAAATGTTTTACAAAAAATATTCAAGACTAGATAAAGCAACATTTTTCAATATGAGATTTATGAGTAATTTTTCTTAAAAAAAAAAAAAAGGGTTAAATCTTTTCGACCCATGGTAGAGATGGTGAAAGATGACAACAAAGTTTGAATCCACTGTCACGAGGAAAGGACGACAAGACATTAACTGAGAGAGAGAGAGAGAGAGATACAGATTGGAAGGATTTGACGCAGGCTCGCTCCTGAGATTTTCGGGGCCCAAAGTCGATAATCAACTATTAAATTTTTGGGGCCTTCACATTTTTTTTTATTGAATGAAAAAAGAATTAAGGTAAAGGACAAAATATTTGTATTAAAATCACAAAAAATACTTAGGATTTTTTTTTAATTAATTGAATAGAAAAAAAAAATTACGTGTGCTTGCTGTTCTAAAATCAAAATATTTTTTTAAAATTAAAATTCAAAACAAGAGTACCATCACTTAACAAAATAATTTTTTTTTAAATTATGTGATGTGAACTATTAAACTTTTAAATAAATTATTCTTAATGATATAAATACTAATATTATAATAGCAATTAATTGTGCAAAAGACAAGATAAATATTTAATTAATTGAATAGAAAAATAAATAAATAAAAAATTTACCTATTTGCTGCTGCTGCTCTGTCCCTTTGCTGTTGGTGTGTGCTATATGAAACAAATGTAAGGAATGTTAGATTAATAGAAGATAGGGTTAGGAATTAGAAAAAATGGACCTTTCAAATAGTTGGGCTGGGCCTTAACTATTGGCCTTTTAATGGATCAAAAAAATTATGTTAGTTTGGATATTTTTAAAAAAAAATTTAGACTTAAAATATACCCAATATATAATACTAACTTATAATAAGAGAGACTCCTATTTTGAGCCTATTTCAAGGAATACTAAGCAATGGCTTTGCAGGCCTATCACCAGGGCCGGACCTGATTTGACGGAGCCAAAATTGGGTGCTATTAATTGACACATATCAGCAAATGAGTGGTGGTAGAAAAAAAAGAGAGTTGGGGAAGATAAGATGCAGACGGCAGTGTTATTATGCAATTGTTTGAAAAGTGGGTTTGAGTGGGTTTGAATAGTTAAAAAAATTAATAAAATAAATTTTTTAGTCTCAATAAAATGAAGGGGTTTTTTTTTTAGGGTCCCTGGTATTATGACTTTATAGTATAAAGGACATCTAATATTTTCATAATGTCTAAGGTCCTTCAATTCAATCCAGAGAAATTCTGCTCCAGAGAAATTTTGGTACAGAGAAATTCTGTCCAGAGAAATTCTCTCCAACCCAGAGAAATTCTCTCCAACCCAGAGAAATTCTCTATCAAAATCTGAGATATATATATATATATATAAATGTTCAATATTTAAGCAATTTTTGTATATATATATAAAATCAAACCCATCTAGATTTTTGTATAAAATCAAAATCTGAGATATATATAAAATCAAACCCATCTGGATTTTTGTATAAAATCAAAATCTAAGATATATATAAAATCAAACCCATCTGGATTTTTGTATAAAATCAAAATCTAAGATATATATAAAATCAAACCCATCTGGATTTTTGTATAAAATCAAAATCTAAGATATATATAAAATCAAACCCATCTGGATTTTTGTATAAAATCAAAATCTAAGATATATATAAAATCAAACCCATCTGGATTTTTGTATAAAATCAAAATCTAAGATATATATAAAATCAAACCCATCTGGATTTTTGTATAAAATCAAAATCTAAGATATATATAAAATCAAACCCATCTGGATTTTTGTATAAAATCAAAATCTAAGATATATATAAAATCAAACCCATCTGGATTTTTGTATAAAATCAAAATCTAAGATATATATAAAATCAAACCCATCTGGATTTTTGTATAAAATCAAAATCTAAGATATATATAAAATCAAACCCATCTGGATTTTTGTATAAAATCAAAATCTAAGATATATATAAAATCAAACCCATCTGGATTTTTGTATAAAATCAAAATCTAAGATATATATAAAATCAAACCCATCTGGATTTTTGTATAAAATCAAAATCTAAGATATATATAAAATCAAACCCATCTGGATTTTTGTATAAAATCAAAATCTAAGATATATATAAAATCAAACCCATCTGGATTTTTGTATAAAATCAAAATCTAAGATATATATAAAATCAAACCCATCTGGATTTTTGTATAAAATCAAAATCTAAGATATATATAAAATCAAACCCATCTGGATTTTTGTATAAAATCAAAATCTAAGATATATATAAAATCAAACCCATCTGGATTTTTGTATAAAATCAAAATCTAAGATATATATAAAATCAAACCCATCTGGATTTTTGTATAAAATCAAAATCTAAGATATATATAAAATCAAACCCATCTGGATATAGATATAAAATCAATTTTTTCTTCAAAATTGTTCCCTTCTCTTCTTCTCAGATTTTTGTATATATATATAACTTTGGTGATATATATTAACTTTTGTGATATATATTAACTTTTGTTTCCTTTTCAAGTTAACAAGATTGGATATAGATATAAAACAAGATTGGATCACCAGAGAGCGAGAGAGAGGACTTAATCTGGACAAAATTTTGCTTCTCTCTCTCTCTCTTTCTCTCTCTGTGTTGGTATTTTTTGGATCTATTCTTCAGTTTGGGTTCTGGGTTCAGGGCAATTTCACAGATCCAGATCGCTTCAATTTAAAACAGAGAAAGAGAAAGAGGGATACAAAAAACATCAAAAATTCAATTTAAAACAGAGAAAGAGAAAGAGGGAAGAAGATGGCCTTCGAACTTTCCTTTGCTGATTCTTCCCTCTTCATCAATTCATCTTCATCTTCGCAACAACTCTGGAAATCTTCTTCTAATTTCGTTTCTCTACCCGAATTCACGACAGACCCACAACCAAAATTTGTTTGCTTCTCCATTTTCACAAACTTTAAATAAATGAAGCTGTGATTAACATCAAAACCTTCTGCGATCCTTCTTCTCTCCTCTCCTCTTTTTCTTCTTCCTCCTCCCTTTCTCGGCCTTCCTTCTTCTCTTCTCTTCTGTCAACAGTTCTGCGTTTTTTTTTTTTTTTTTTAACAAATTGAAATTTGTCCCCAAAACGACGTCGTTTTGGGGCGCCGCAGGAAGCGCTACAGGAAAACGCAACCGAGGATCCGGATTCCAGTCAAAATAGGTTGCTGCTGTTGAGCCTGGGGTGGTTTGACATCCCAGAGCAAGTTTATATTTTATATTTTTTTATTTTTTTTTAAAGTCATATCAATTAACATTTTTTTTTCCACGTATTTTTTGAAAAAAATAAAAAATATATTTATTTAAAACATTTCAAATCATCTCAAATATATTTCTATGATTAAAAATTAACTTTTTTAATTTTTAATTTATTTTAAGTTATCAATGTATTTGATTTGAATTTTTTGAATTAAGTTTTTTAAAAATTCAATTTTTTAGTTTTCGTATTTTTTAGTTTTTAGTGAATATTTTTAAAATTTTAAACATTTTTTTTAATTTTTTTAGATACACTTTACTTAGATGTATCTAAAAAGTAAAAAACTTGTGAAAAAATATTTTCAAAATTTAATAAATACATAAAAATGCAAAAAATGTACTGAATTCTCGTATTTTTTTTTTATATTTTTGGTATTTTGTGATTTTTTAAAAGGTTTTTTTCACAAATTTTTTACTTTTTAGGTATATTTATGTTAGGTATGTATAAAAAGTAAAAAAAATTGTTTAAAATATTAAAAAAATTTAGTAAAAATAAAAAAATATGATAAATAAAAAAGTAAAATTTTTTGAAAAGCATTTTTGAAAAAACACAATCAAACAAGCTTATTTTTTCATATTTTTCATTCATAAAAAAATAAAAAAATAAAAAACCAAAAATGCACCTTTTAACAACTTCCCAAACCATCCAATAATAATCAATCCGTCACACACCACTCAGGCACCCACTCCACTGCCTCTTTTTTCCTTCCTTGGCCTGTTGTGTTCTCATGGCAGCACCCAATCCAGTGAGGGTGCTTGAGGTTTGCAGAGTGGCTCCAACGCCTAGCTCACCGGACTCAGCCGCCCCGACCTCTCTTCCTCTTACTTTCTTCGACGTGTTCTGGTTGAGATTCCCTCCCGTTCAACGAATTTTCTTCTACGAAACCTCTCATTCAACCACTACATTCTCAGAGATCGTCCTTCCTAAACTCAAACACTCCCTCTCTCTCACGCTCCATCACTACCTTCCTCTTGCCGGCAATCTGACGTGGTCCCCAGATTCCGATAAACCAATCATCCAATACGTGGAAGGTCATGATGCAATTTCACTCACCATAGCGGAGTCTGAAGCTGAATCCTTCTACCATCTGTCCGGCGATAGCTTTCGAGAAGCCAAAGAATTTCATCATTATTTACCCCAACTGGTGGCCTCTCACACACAAGTACCCGTGATGGCATTGCAAGTCACTCTGTTTCCAAACACCGGGTTTTCTATCGGTTACGCCACACACCACGCGGTATTGGATGGGAAAACTGCATCTCTGTTTATGCATTCATGGGCCTCTATTTGCGTCCGCGGCCAAGTCTCAACTTTAACTCCCGAACTAACTCCGTTTTATGACCGCACCATTGTCGATGACCCAGATGATCTTGAAACAACTTTCTTGAAGGGATTTTTGCAACAAAATGGCAACAACAACAAAAGCCTCATGATATGGGACTTGAAAGCTCCACCCGATGTGTTTCTCGGCACTTTTAGATTGACACAGGCAAATATAGAGAATATCAAGAAGCGTGTGCAAGCCCAATGGCAAGAGAAGAATAATCATAAACTAGCCATTCCTCTGTCAACTTTTACAATAACAAGTGCCTACACATGGGTTTGCTTAGTTAAAACCTTGAAAACGAGGAGCCAGAAAGTTCGTCTTATCATCGGTGTCGATTGCAGGGCTCGCTTGGAGCCCCCTCTCCCTTCAACTTACTTTGGGAACTGCCTTACAGGATGTTTTGTCAATGCAGATTCGAACGACTTAATTGGAGAAGATGGGGTGGCCATGGCGGCCACCGCGATTGGAGAAGCCATACAAGGTTTGAATAATGGAGTTCTAAAAGGGGCAAAAGACTGCATAACTGCATTATTTTCTTTACAAAAGGAGGCATTATTTTCCATTGCAGGCTCACCTCGACTTGAGATGTACAACATTGATTTTGGGTGGGGGAGACCGAGAAAGGTGGAGGTGACATCAATTGATAAAAGTGGAGCTTTCTCTCTTGCAGATTCCAGAGATGGTAATGGTGGGCTTCAGATTGGGATAGTGTTGAAGAAACATGAAATTGAAGCTTTTGCTTCTCTTTTTGTTAGTGGTCTTGAAACTCATTGAGTCCGTAAAACCCATTGGCACCTCCTTGTATGTTTGATGCAAGTATGTTTTTCATTGGTGTGTGTTTTATTTGTGTTTGTAAGATAAATTGATAGAGAGAGATACAGAAAGAATGAATTATGTATATTGATTTATGTATTGAATGTATTTTGTACAATGGTTCAGAAGCTCCTTATAAAGGAGAAGTTTACAAACAATGCACCCAAAAGCAACCGAAAGCAAAGACATCATGATCAACTAGGACACACTTTGCAGCTAATAACAACATAGAATACACTAACAATATAATGCACTAACAGCCCCCCTCAAACTCAAGGAGGATAGGCACAAACCAACTTGAGTTTGAAGAGAGTAACAAAATAGAAAAATAAACTGACAAATAAAATAGGATAGGAGACACTGTATGGTCGTGTCAGACCGTTGTAGAAGACTGTATGATTATGACAGACAGTTTATGGGGTCATGTAGAAGACAGTTAAAGACAGTTTACGGGGTCATGTTGGACCGTTGTAAAAGCTGACCGGAATCAATGTCGGGACAGTTTACGGGGTCATGCCGGACCGTTGTAAAAGCTGACCGGAATCAATGTCGGGACAGTTTACGGGGTCATGCCGGACCGATGTAAAAGCTGACCGGATCAATGTCGGGACAGTTTACGGGGTCATGTCGGACCGTTGTAGCAGACACTGTGTGGTCGTGCCAGACCTATGTAGAAGACAGTTTACGGGGTCATGTCGGACCGTTGTAGAAGCTTGTGGTGGTGCACCAAGGGGGCGACTTAGGGAGTGCGCCATGGGATGGCTTGGGTGGTTCCCATGGTGTGTAACCATGCTCACCATGATATATGTATAACCCCTCCTCAAACTCAAATAGGTGTGAAAATAGAAACCTATTTGAGGTTGAAAAAAAAAAGTGAGGGATAAAGGGGATCAAGACAGTTTACGGGGTCATGTCGGATCGATGTAGCAGACACTGTGTGGTCGGGTCAGACCGTTGTAGAAGACAATTTATGGGGTCATGGCGGACCGTTGTAAAAGTCGCACCCTCAAAAGGTGTGCCCAATCCCTCAAAAGGCGTGCCATCAAAAGGCGTGCCCAATCCATAAAAAGGTGTGCCGGTCATTATGGCGAGGCGCCCATCAAAAGGTGTGCCGGACTACCTTGGCTTGCGCGCCATGTTGTCGTCTAGCGCCGTGCGGCGCATGATGCGCGTGGCTGCCTTGGCTATTTAACCAAGACGGAGGCTGAGGCTGATGCAGAGGCTGAGACAAAAACCTGCTAAAAAACCTCTGAAAAACTCTTCGTTTTGCTGATAGAGATACTCAGTTTCTTGAGAGAGATACTCTGTAACACTCTGTTGCCCAGAAAATGGTCTCTTCTTCCTCTTCTTCCCGTGGTCTGCTCACTCTCTTTCCCGACCTCAACGAGTCAACAAGAGAGATAACTGGTGCGGTGGCCCGTGAACCTCAACCAAACACCACTGGTTTTGCTCCGTTGAACTTTCCGATGCGGTCTGTGGAGCAAAAAATGGCGGTGCAAACTGATATTGAGGCCAATCAGTATACTTTGAAGTCATGTGTGGAGACCATGACGGCGGTCACAAACTTGTCGCACCGGCTGCAGAGTAGAACAAATGAGGTGCAGCAGCTAAACGCCCAACTGGCTCTGCTCCAACGCATGTATAAGGATGCGCGAGCAGAGATAAGTGTGCTAAAGGCAGAAAACAAGGAGCTGAAGCGGAAGGCCACCGTGATATTCCGATTTGGAGGTCCGCCATATGCTGTAGTGGAGGAGTGCTAGAGCTTAGTGGTGTGAAGGGGGCACATCTGCATGGGATACCTTTGAACATCCATCCCCATTAATTTAGGCCCATAATGCACAAATATATAGTTGAAGTTTTAGTATTTTTGGATGGATGTGGAGGCCAATCAGTATACTCTGAAGGCATGTGTGGAAAGCATGACGGCGGTCACAAATTTTTCGAACCGGCTGCAGAGTAGGACAAATGAGGTGCAGCATTTAAACTCCCAGCTGGCTCTGCTCCAACGCATGTATAAGGATGCGCGAGCAGAGATAAGCGTGCTAAGGGCAGAAAACAAGGAGCTGAAGCGGAAGGCCACCGTGATGTTCCGATTTGGAGGGCCACCATATGCTGCAGTGGAGGAGCAGGGAGGAGGCAACTTGCTTGGTGGTCTAGGAAGCACGGGGGCAACACCGTCAAGGGCCGCTCAGGACGGAGGTAAGAAGAAGAGACCTGCAGTAGAGTAGAGAAGAAAAATCCCGCTGTGGGTGTGAGTGGTTTGTTTGTGGGATTTTTTTTATTTTTTATTTTTTTTTTTTTTTTTTTGGTTGTAAAATGGTGATCGGGGTGAGCCCCAACATGAATAAAATGAGTGTGGTGTGCAGTTCTTCTTCTTCTGCGTCTTTTTTTTTTGTTTAAAAATAATAATAAGAATAACATAAAATAGAGAAAGAAAACAGAGAATATTTTTGGGGGGAGGATGTGCAGGCGGTGGAATATATTATAGAGTTTTGGATGAGTGGGTGCAGAGATGAAGATTGGTTTAAAAAAAATAAAAAAAAGGGGTATGGGTGAGACATGGTGGGAACATTGGTGAAGTGGGTCACATGGGTGACTCCTGAGTGATGTAAAGCCTTTCCCTTTAATCAATAGGGACATCGAATTCGGACTAGAGATCCTGGTAGGTGATAGGAGAGAGAGACGAGGTGTTTGTTGACTTTGCCGATGAGGACCATGGAGACGATTTCCATGGTGGAAGCGTCGGTGATTCGGAGGCCGTGGAGGAAGTTGGGTTGGAGGCCGAGTCGACTCAGCCATTGGTTGATCTCGGGGCCACCGCCATGGACGAAGACGATGCGGATGCCGACGCAGGAGAGGAGGACGAGGTCGGAGATGACGGAGGATTGGAGGGACGAGGATTTCATGGCGGCGTCGCCGTATTTGACGATGATGGTCTTGCCACGAAACTTCTGGATGAAGGGTAGAGATTCAGAGTAGATGTTGACTCGTAACTGAGCTGGGATTGAGTCATGTACTACCATCGATAACGTGAAGGCGAAGATTCAAGATAAGGAGGGCATTCCTCCGGACCAGCAGAGGTTGATCTTCGCTGGGAAGCAGCTGGAGGACGGAAGGACTTTGGCTGACTACAATATTCAGAAGGAGTCCACCCTGCATCTTGTCCTTTGCCTCCGTGGTGTTGCTCTTCAATACATGTTAGCAAACGGCCCCAAAGAAGAGGGATGCTCTGTTGATGCAGAGGATCAAAGCCATTCAAATCGTGACGATCATGACGAGAGTTGCTATGATGTTGTTGGTATGGATCATTTCGTGTGAGCCTCTTGCTGGAGTTGATGGAGGTTTCAATTGGTTGAGATCCGGCGGGCGGTCAAGGCAAAGTTGCCGCCCGCCAGAAGGCGAAGAGCACCAAGAGCTTAACCTATGGCTGTGATACCATGTAAGATAAATTGATAGAGAGAGATACAGAGAGAATGAATTATGTATATTGATTTATGTATTGAATGTATTTTGTACAATGGTTCAGGAGCTCCTTATAAAGGAGAAGTTTACAAACAATGCACCCAAAAGCAACCGAAAGCAAAGACATCATGATCAGCTAGGACACACTTTACAGCTAATAACAACATAGAATACACTAACAATATAATGCACTAACAGTGTTTATGTATCTGTTTGATATCAAATAATGATATTGAGCTCATCAACATTATACTTATTTCTGTTATTCTGATTTTTTGTGTGAAGATTTGACATACATCCAATATTTTCCAAAATGTTCCAAAAAATTGCTTTTGATGAATGAAATGGTCAAAGCTTTTCACATCAAAATGAGTTTTTTTTTTTTTTTTTTTATATGAAAAATAGAAAGGGGGAAGATTTGACATACATAAAATATTTTCCAAAATGTTCCAAAAAATTGCTTTTGATGAATGAAATGGTCAAAGCTTTTCACATCAAAATGAGTTTTTTTTTTTTTTTTTTTATATGAAAAATAGAAAGGGGGAAGATTTGACATACATAAAATATTTTCCAAAATGTTCCAAAAAATTGCTTTTGATGAATGAAATGGTCAAAGCTTTTCACATCAAAATGAGTTTTTTTTTTTTTTTTTTTATATGAAAAATAGAAAGGGGGAAGATTTGACATACATAAAATATTTTCCAAAATGTTCCAAAAAATTGCTTTTGATGAATGAAATGGTCAAAGCTTTTCACATCAAAATGAGTTTTTTTTTTTTTTTTTTTATATGAAAAATAGAAAGGGGGAAGATTTGACATACATAAAATATTTTCCAAAATGTTCCAAAAAATTGCTTTTGATGAATGAAATGGTCAAAGCTTTTCACATCAAAATGAGTTTTTTTTTTTTTTTTTTTATATGAAAAATAGAAAGGGGGAAGATTTGACATACATAAAATATTTTCCAAAATGTTCCAAAAAATTGCTTTTGATGAATGAAATGGTCAAAGCTTTTCACATCAAAATGAGTTTTTTTTTTTTTTTTTTTATATGAAAAATAGAAAGGGGGAAGATTTGACATACATAAAATATTTTCCAAAATGTTCCAAAAAATTGCTTTTGATGAATGAAATGGTCAAAGCTTTTCACATCAAAATGAGTTTTTTTTTTTTTTTTTTTATATGAAAAATAGAAAGGGGGAAGATTTGACATACATAAAATATTTTCCAAAATGTTCCAAAAAATTGCTTTTGATGAATGAAATGGTCAAAGCTTTTCACATCAAAATGAGTTTTTTTTTTTTTTTTTATAAATAAATATATATATATATATATATAAATATATAAAACCATAAATTAACCTAAATAGTCTAATTTATTACTACAAAATTACCTTAATCTACTACATTTTTAACCCAATTCTCATTTAATAACATTTTAAATTAAATTAAATTTTTGATAAAAGATGACAATTAGTGTTAGGGTTTGGTCAAGATTAAGATTTAATAGATCAATATGTGGCTATTATTGACATTTAATTCAATTTTTACTTTGACTTACCATTTTTGCAATGTCTACTCTCAATTAGAGAGAATATGGCACGCCTTCCGTTATCTTTTTTTGAAAAAATTAACGGTAAGGGAGTTATCTATCTATATTTGAACCACAGGAGGTAAAGTGCTTTGAGGCGAAACCACGAGGGGTAAAGTAAATTTTGCCTTTTTTTGTTTTTATGAAATTTTTTAAAAAATTAATTTTTAATTATTTTAGTTTGTCTAGTTGAGTATAATATAAATGTGTAAAAAAAAATTTAAAAATTAAACTAAAGGAAAAAAAAATGAACAAAATATGCTAATTATCCGCTTCTGATTGTAGGCTCATTACTTATTCAGATCATAAAATTTTATTTTATCACATTTATTTTAAAAAAATAATGATAAATATATATATATTTTAAAATTATTTAATTTTTTTATCGGATTGACTTCAAACACTTTACAAAATAAATGATTCTAATTATCAAAAAAATGAACCAGTAATAAATCTCACGGACTCCTCAAGTTTTTAGAAGCCATCTTTTTCTTTTTCATTTTTAAATTTTTATCTGAATTATTATTCAAACTCAACGTTAAAAAAATATAAAAAATTTCCACATTTTACCAAAATTCAACCCATCTAGAAGTAATCATTTTGCCAAAGCATGTGAAATACGGCAACTCTCACTTGACCGAAGAAGTCAAATTCTAACCCTTTTTTTTGGGTCGGCAATTCAAACCGATTAATCTGTGTTGAATAAAATAATATTTTGAATAGAAATAAATGAGTAAAAAAGTTGAAATATTCAACGAAATTATTAAAAAAAATAAAAGAAAAAATTGATGATAAATTTAATTTGAAAGGTGTCTAAGAAATTAGGTTCAGGGAACATTTTTTATTAGTGAAAGATTCACCACTTGTGAAATAGTTTGGTGAAAAGTCATTTTTACTGTTTATGAGGATATTTTATTTTTGATTTTATCCCTTAATTTATCTGTTGATTTTTTTTTTGTTTATTTTTTTGACTATCTGTTCAAAATTTTTAATTATCAGGTCAAATCATTTTTTTTATCTGTTTAATTTTTTTAACTATCTGTTCAATTTTTTCCTTATCTGTTCAAATTATTTTTATGTATTGAAATTCCTATATGTTCAAAAAATTTATTCTTTTTCTTATCTGTTCAATTTATTCTTTTTTCGATCAAGAATACTTTTCTTATTTCAACACATTTGTTGCACAGATCATAGCATTTTATCTGTTAAAAAACTATCGATTGAAATAACAGAGCCATTTTGAACAGATCAGAGCCACATAAGGTCCCTTATCTGTTTAAATCTAACAGTAGAAATCCCTTATCTATTGTAATTTGTTTCATCATCATCATCATCAACAACAACAACAACAACTAAAAAAATAAATAAATACCTGTTCACCAGATCCACCACAACAACAACAATAATGAAAAAAAACAAAAAGAGATCTAGAAAAGAGAGAGAGCGGGAGATCGACGACGTAGTGGTGTTCCAAGTCCTTTTCTTCAGCTGCCGTACCTTTACAAACTTCTCAGAGCAGAAGAGACGATGTTGAGGTTGAGGAAGGGACCCACGGTCGAGAACTGTGGCAAAGTCTAAATCTGAAGCGGTGAGGGAGATTGGAGAGAGGTGTTATGGTGGGTGGTTAGGAGAGAGAGAGAGGCAATGGAAGAGGAGTGATGGTCAGTCGGTGACGACGTCGATGAGAGGAGAAGAAAATGGCGAGCGAACAATCACTGTAGTGGTGTTATTGAAGGCAATGGGCGGGTTTGGAAAAAAAAGTGTTGTGGTCGACGTTTAGAGGAGAGAGAGAAAGAGACGACAGATAAGTGGTGGTCAATCTGCGCGTGATGTTAGTCAGTGGAGGAGACAGTGTGTCATGACCCGCTCCCCGTACCCAAGGGTTAAGCATCGTGATGGCCAGTAATCGAGGTTACCTCCGGCTAAATCTTTAAACAATTTAATAAACGCAAGCGGAAGAAATATTTAAATGAAGGTACTAAAACAATCATTCGAGTTTATATTTTTATTACAAAATGTATTGGCCAAAAAGACCGATATTTAATAATAAAAAAAAAACATCAATAAAAGTGCTTTGTGCCTACCCCACATGCTGGTCCTGACATCTCACCTGAAAGTGGTAAAAAAACTATAAGCTCATGGCAGAGTGAGAAATATTATACCAAGAGTATAAGGCATAAAATTCACCATGGATAATTAGTTGGGCCAAAAAAAGTTTGATATTAAAATGCATCTTATATAATACGGAGATCATTTAACATATAATACATAATACGGATATCACTATACAACCAAAACTACGGTACATCATTAAGTGCCAAGCACTACACTGGTCAATGGATCCACGACAAACACTGGACCACAAAGTGGTCAATCACTAAGCCAATGGTTATTTAAATCCCCTAAAGCATGGGACTCACTAGCCAATGGTTATTTAAGTCCCCCAAAGCATGGGACTCCCATGGTGATTCTCACAAAACATATTTTCATATAAGGTCATAACCAAATATTCTTTAAAAGTAAAACAAACATATCCATGAGTTTCCTTTTAAACAAATAGAGTTCATAAAATAATTCACGTTACTGAAACTTTTATAAAACATAACTTTTATAAATATACTAATAAAACATAACTTATATAAAATAGATTTTGATAAGTCAAAATATAAATAAAATACATTTTGATAACTTAAAGTATAATATAACTTACTTTAACTTTAATATCTTACTCTTTCTTTTCACTATTCCATTATTTTTCTTCTATTCTTTCTCTATTTTCTCTCCTTCTCTTTTCTTTCTTTCCTGGTCTTCTTTTCTTTTTGTTTTTCTTCCTCTCACATAGTCAACATCTCCTTATTTATAAGGGCAAATTACATATACACCCCTCCAGGTTTGATTAAATTACAGATACCCCCCTGAGGTTTCGGAAATTACATCCCGCCCCCTGAGGTTTGTATTTTCATAACAATTTAC